TTTGTTATTAAATTTCCCCAGGATTGTGAGTTTTGTAATTCTTGAAGCAGAGCCTGGCCCACCCCTCTGAAGCTTCAAGAACCGCCCCTTGGAGCAGCCTGGGCACCCCCACTATTGCGCTGCCATAAGGAGCTGGAGCAATGATGGGTCAGAAGACCCAGAACATACCCCCCGTTGAGAGTTCGGAGAAGCGGGAAGACTATTACCACCTTTTTGTCGTATTTGCACTGTCGTAGTCTCTGGATTGTATCTCGTCTCTTGTCATCATCGATCTGGCACAAGAAAGGGCTAATTATTCCAGAAGCTCCATATCTTGTCCCATGTACTGCCAATCAAAGACTGAGAGGCCTCTCCAGGTGGGCTCTGTCTCTTGTTTGCTCAAGAGCATGCTGGGCAGGCTACCATTGAAACTGTTAAATTGACTTCTTTCCCTTTCATTACTCAGCTTCTCACTCCAACAATACCTTCTTTCCAGGTATCTTCCTCTCTCAAGGTTAATGATGGGTTTTCCTCCCTTCCTCTTGTGGCCCCACTTCAGCCACAGATTTTCTTTGCTGCTTTCTCTCCCCTTTCCCCTTTCTATTGGGAATTATGGCCTGTGGCTATAGACAGATGCTCTTAGAGAAGGATGCTGTGCGTTTTAGTTGCAAACTCATGCCTGAAGTAGTGATGCAAATAGTGTCTAAGCAGAGCCATCCCATCAGCTCTGGATTCAGCTCACAGTTGCCAGATCATCTGATTTGTCAAAAGAAGCTGGCAATGTGGATTTTTATATGCTATTCCATGATATTAATATGAGGGTACAAATGTTTCCATGAGCTTTTCGAAGTACCCTTGTATATTGGAAATTAATTTTTAAAATGTTACATGTTAAATAAACACTTGCACGCACACCTGCAGGCTAGATATAGCTGTTGGCCTGCCAGTTAATGACTTCTGGTCTAAGACAGAGAAGCACTTAGGAACTATTGCATCTTTCAATTTGTTTGTCATAAAAATCTTGGATGTGTTACTGTCTCTGTTAGAATTTACCTTACAAAGTCATTTTGAAATGTGAGTGAAATAAATTATATCAGGTATCAAGCGTGATGCCTGGCACAATGCAGGTTAATGAATTTCAGTTATCTTCACAATTCTCACTTAATAGATGAGGGATAGCTGGGTTAAAAGACAATAAATGTCACATAAGAAGAGGGTGTGAGGGGCCGGCCCAGTGGCAGCGCTCCCGTCCGAGGGTTCGGATCCCACATACAGACCGGTTCCCGCTCACTGGC